GGCGGGCAGCGGGCGCCCGCCCAGCCGCAGGGCCATGTTCTACTTCCACTGCCCCCCGCAGCTAGAAGGTGAGTGTTGTCGCACAGAGACGTGTAAGTACGAGAGCTGAAGTTCGAGGTGGTGGTGGGGTGTGCGCTGGGGGACAGAGGAAGAAACTGTGGTCCGACTTGCTCCAAGGGCCCGCACTTTTGACTGTCGGGGTACAGATATGTGCTGAGATAAGATGCGGATCTATAGAGGCAGCTAAATATAAAAGCGCATCATCTTTTTCCTTGAGAAAACACAACCTTATCCCCTCTCCCTGCGCCCAGCTTTCCCCTCTTGTCACAGGATGGAAAGAAGGATTGCATGATTATTTTTTTTTTTAATTTGATTCCTATTGGAAAGGCCTTGTTTTTACACCCCCACCCCCGTCATTTTGCCACCTGCCTCCCCTCTGTGGATAGCCATCCCGCAGTTGAGCCTCAGGCTACGAAAGAGATGCTTTTCTCCCCTCCCAGCACAGATGTTGGTGTCATGGCTGTAATCGGGACACTTTCAGGACGTGGTCACGCCTCCTCCCTCCAGCCAAAGGGACTGCATAAATCTTTAATGCTATTTTACAAACATTCTGCGGGAGGATGGGGAAAGACGGGGCACGACTGAAAAAAAAAAAAAAGGCGGAAAATAAATATTTGGGAGGATTTTTTTTCTTTGTGTTATTGATCAGAGGGGTTTGTTTATTTATTCTGTTTGTTTCCTTTAAAAAAATAAATAAATGGCAGCCTTCGGGATTTCCCCACATATGCCCAGGGCCCTGGCCACCCGCTCCCTCCGGCCAGCGCTCGTAGTGCGGGGAGCAGCCCCGGCTGCCCAAGTTTTACTGATTCTGATTACTGTGCACCTACCATGGAGTTTTCTGCTTTTGGCTTTTTCAGTTCGTTGCACAGGGTGTCAGACACTACTTTCTCTGCTTCCTCTGGGATGGGATCTAGGATTGTCACTGAGTTTCTCTGGGTGCTTTCTCCCGGTTATTCACCTATTCCGTTCTTTCCCTCTCTCTCTGTCTTCAGGTCGGCAGCAGACACCTCGGCGGTGCGTGGCGGTGCCCGGCGGGGGAGCTGGTGCCGGTGTGTCGGTGCGGGGGGTGCGCGGAAGCCCCGCGCCCCGCGGGCTGGCCCCGGCCC